AAGGTCCGAGGGAACCCGCGTGGGATAAAAAGGGCAAAACGCTGATCGCAGCGCTGGCCTTCCACGCTAATCCATGAGCGCTGCGCCACTACCACTTTTGTCTGCGATTTCGCGTTTGGTGGCTCAGTCTACTGTCTTGTTCGCAATTGGCTACACGCCAGAGAAAGACCAAGGGGTCTCGTAGAGGGCGGGAGGAGGAGGAGGAGGAGGAGGAACGGCCGTCTCCTTGAAACAGCTCCCACCCACCCCTTTCCTTCCTGCATAGTAATGTTTCTGGCAGTTTGATGAGCGTTCGTTGCATCGATTCTAGAGCTCAACATTATGAATCGGAGGACAAAGGGGTGGAGGCCAGTTGGAGGGTGATTAAAAAGTGGGAGTGCGCAGGGGCAGAGGAGAACGTGCTCCTCTGGACATCTCCCCCTTCCCAAGCTGTTTCCTTCCTCCATTATTTTAAATTTAGTAATGGTGATTTCTGGCTCAGAAAATGGGAGTGATTAGACAACATAGCCCTACAATTACCATAGCACAGAGGAATCCATCTACCCCCATTCTCCTCCCCCCTTTGGTTCAAGGAACCATTCATAATATTCAACATTTGTAAGTGCACAATGGTGGGTTTGGGGGGGAGGGAGGGAGTAGAATGTGTGGAGCCTGGTTCCAGGGCAAACAAAATGAAGCCTGGAGATGAAGACAGAGTATGGAAATGAAAGCCAGCACTGTATTTCATAGCTAGGAATCCAGTAGGTTTTAAGAATTCCCTTTGGTTTGAAAGGGTTCATTTATTCTGCCCAGATGGAGGAAGTGGTTATAATGGGTAGATTAAAACGGTTCAGTATTTTATTTAGTTTACAGTGACAATCTCTGTGCTATATTTTTGTGAAAATATGCAGAAAATAGGAGTAATACGCATTATCATACATGTTTGCAGCTAGGACGCTAGCAGGTAAACAATGTGGTTTTTAGTCTGCAGAAATACTCCAAATACTTTTCAGTTAATGCTTTTGTTATGACTATGCCTTTGTCAAAATAAATTATCAAATATATGAATGTATACTAAAGGAAAACTGGTAACACTTCATAGTTCTAATAGTTCTGATAGCACTTGTATCAGAAAGATATTTAAGAAACAAATCTCGTATGTATAAATTGCTATATTTTAGCAATATCATTCATAAACAGCTTTATAATATTTATTATGTTAACTAAAATTCTTTTTGTTTTGAAACAAGGTTTTAGGTATGAAGAAATACCATAGATCAACTTCCAGTAAAAAATTGGTTGAACATTGGTCTTCTTGAATGTTACATTTTTCTATAATAGCTTTTTGATTAATATTCTAAGCAAGGAAAAGAGAATTTTTTGAAAGCAAGTTAAAATAGGAGCTTAGTCTCAGTAATATTTCCAAACTTGTAATTTTGGTTACAATTAATTTATAAAATAATATGTATGCAACTGTGTTTCTATGAATGTGAGACAAAAATTAACATAGTTTCAAGTGTTTTATGTCAATTCCATTTAATATCTTAACTGAAAAGGAACTAAACATAAGACATATTTAAGTTAATGTTTAATCAGACATTTATGAAATCAGCTATTCTATAGAATATTTGAGTGGGTTTTGAAATCTATGAAACTTAAACATGGTAAGACCCACTAATTATTTTCTAAAACAAGTACCTCAAATGTTCCTTGAAATAAGTAATTTTTGTAATAGAAATAGGGATCAAACTGGATTTTACCATATTAAAATGGTACCTGGGAATATAAAATGATGAAAGTTAAGATCCAATTTCTAAGCAATTTATTGTACTTTTAGCTCCTTCAAATTACAAGTTACAATCTACATCTCAAATATTTGTTAATTAACATAATTTGCAACTAAAATGCCAATTTATAGATTAATGTTTCAAAGTATTTACAAGTGTCCTATGCTCAGTTGATTTTAAAGAGTTCACTGTTAATAAGATACATGGTTATTGAAATTACAATGGAATGACTAAATTAAAACATGCCCAGGGTTTTCCATTCTGACTTTTTAAAAATCTAACTGCAAGCTTTTATATTAGAAATATGTATCTAATTGTTTTTATACTTGGTACTAATGAAGCTTAATCCTAAAACTGATGCAATATAAAAAGGTAACGATTCTTTTAAGAATCAGTTTTGAAACGCTCTATTTGCCACTTGAAAGCAGCAAAACTGAGGTAGGATATTTAAAAGTATTCTGAAAGGTTGAGTTACACTATCAACTGCTAAATTTACACACACAAAGTAACTGCACTTGCGGTTGGAAAAGGTGTTTTTTTTCTGTTTTGAAGAACTGAGAAGTAATGAACTTTGACCTATTTTAGCAGAATTAAGTTCTCTGGATGTGCATTTTAATATGGCTATTGTTCATGGTACTTCTAGCAATCCGGTAAAACTGTTTATAGTTGATAACTGTTGGGGCGAAGACAGAAGAGTAATAAAAAAGCCCCGCATTTCAGCGTAAGCAAGGAAAACAGGAGAAAATGGATTCCTGAAATTACAGGGATTCGGGGGGGGGGGAAGGTTACCCAAAAGCAGAACTCTCCAAATGTTGGAAAAACTCTCATTGGTCAGTTTTCCTTTCCCTCCCCTTCCTTATTTTCCTCTCCGCCTCCAGCCTGAATTTAGCATAACGTATTACTTTCCATAGCAGGTCATAGATACATTTAATCGACTCAAAAGTATCCGCTGCTGATTCACATGTGAACATCTGTTCTTTTCCCGGTGTTGGTCTCACAGAGCAAAATCCTATGCGAGTCTATTTAAAATTAAGGGCCTTTGAGCTCTACGCAGCTTACTATGAGAGACAAAACTAGAGAAAGCCTTAAATGCAAACCGTACGGACCTCGGCTTCATGCTCCCCCAATTTGTCAGAAATTAGCCGCGAGCGGATAGAAAGAGAGATGATGTTAAAAATAAGGTGTGTTCTCCCCCTCCTCTCCTTCTAACTACTGATTTACTTTTCGGTTTGCGCCTTTAGGTGAAAGCAAACTACAAAGTCCCCTCCCCCCCCCGGGAAAAGGAAATGAAGGGGTGGGAAAGGTCTCAGCCAACCTCGTCACGTAACGCGCGGTTACAATTCATCAGCCAGCGCGAGCTGCAGGGGAGTAGCCGTAGTAATCGTAGTAAGCCGCGCGTGAGCTCTGGGATCTGATTCTTGCTGTGTGTAACAGGGACGCGTCCTATTGGTCGATGCCTCTACCTATCACAGTGCTCAATGTCGGTCGCGCTGGCGCCACCAGCTCTCTGATTCGCTCCCGCTTCTCTCCATTCACGGGCTTCTTGGGCAGTCCTTGCTGCTCTTCTGGCTGTGGCGCGAAACTCGCCCGTCTCGCCTCGCGCAGTCGCGCCCTTTCATACTTGGGATTTCTTTTGTTTGATAGGGTGGTGGTTTGTAGGGTGGTTTGGATGCTCACCCCTTTTATGCTAATAAAGGTAAAGTCTCCTTTGTGCCTCCTTTTAAGAAAAGCGGGGGGTGGGGGGGAACGAACGAACTGCTGGAAGAGAAATGCAACCGGTGTTTGTAGTCTGCGGGTTTCCTGCAGTGCCGTCTTTGCACTCCCTGATGGCTGGCGGAGGAGAGGTTTTCTCGGGGCTTAATGGTTGGTTGTAATGTTACACCAATCTGTAGTTGTTCCTTCGCAAGACTTCTCGGCATTTTCATAGCGGGGGACTTCATACTGAGTTGTATGGACTTTGTACCTCGCTTTTTAAGGTATTAACTAACATTCGGTAGGATTCATCTAAATAGTACTTGAGTCGCGAGCGTCAAAGAGCCGAATCGCCTGTTAATGTATTTGTAATCAAGAATACTATGTAAACAAAGCCCAGAAACGTTTCATGAGTCCTGAATTCAGTGCAAATTGTCTTCTTTTTCTTTAGAATTGATTATTGTGAATCTATAAATGCCTCGTTAAAAAAGAAGTTCATAGGCAAAATCGTCAGGAAAACGTTAATGGTGGAGAAGGGAAATGAGATCACTAAAGATGCAGAAATACTCTGGGTTCATTCTAACAAAACATATTCGACTTTCACAGATAATTGAAAGACTAGAAAGAAGTCAAAACTACTTTGTTATTTTGTTATTTAAACTGAGAAAGTGGGGATTTCAAATGCATTTCTAATATTCAGAAGAATGGTGCAACTGAATATTTACTGCTGCTTATTTAATAATAGTTCAAAGAAGGTACTGCTCTTTCGTTGTGAGGTTTCTGTACCTTTTGCAAGGAAAGAAACAGACTTTGCCAGGCTGCATCTGTATTTCACCTGTGTTAAGTTTTTGCTGTCCTCTTAACTATCAAAGGTATGCTGAAAGTTTGCCAGAAGGAAAAGAAAAGATAGAACCTTGGTGATTCCTAATGCTAATTTTGGATCAATATAAACATAGAGCATTAGATAAATGTATAATATATTCTCTAACCATAACATGTTTGCTTAAACTATGAACATTTTCTAATTTTTATTTTGGGCTATATAAGCAGGCTATTTTGGGGGGAGTCTAAGCAAAAAAACACACAGATATTTTTATATTTTATTAAATATAGAAATTAAATGTGTTAAGTACTTTATATACTCAAATATTGATTTATTTTTAACATAAATGGGAATTAAAGCCATTTATAGGAAACAAACTGATATTCTCAGAACCCAGGAAAGGTTTGTATTTACACAGAAGATTATTTCATGGTTTAATACCAAGTTTTGTTTGTTGATAACCTCTGTTTTACTCAGTTTGGGTACTAAATGGTAAAATAAAATTGTGTGTAATAAATTTGGTTTTTGAACTTTGTTTGCATGTCACAAAAATAATAAAATATTGGAAACAGTAGCTATTAAGATGAAACCAAATTCATGTTATGAGACTGCAGGAAGAAATGAAAACATAACTTGTGAATATTATTTATAATGAACAAGATTATTGTAAAATCATTTAGAAATATTGTAAAACTTAGATAACATTGAAGTAGGCTGATCATTTACATGTTATGAGTAGTATTTCTGTTTGTATAGCTTTTGAAATGTGTAGAGGTTTTATGGAAATTTATAAATTAACATTTTTTTCACAGTTGCTGCAGACAATACAGCTATTTGGAAATTAAACGTAATTTTATTTTGCATTTGAATAACATCAATGTTAGTTTGCTTTATATGTGAATAAATTGTTTTGCAAAGGGGGAAGATATATAATGCAACACAATGAAATGACAATCCCACTGTAGTGAATCTGCTCACCACTATGATTAAGAACCACATTCCTTTGCTATTCCAAGTATAATAAGTAAATTTCATTGTCTTTGGTAAATTTTAAATATTTTTAAGATTGTAGTTATGCAGGAAATCCTGTGAAGATTTACTCAGAACTATCTCCAATTCTATTCAGTGGGGTATGCTGTCAAAAGAAGATTCAGGACTGCACAGTGAATATTTCTTTAATAGCTGACTGGAATTAAGTTGTTAGAGGCATATTTTGTCTTGGTGGCTAAGAAGCAATCTTCAGCAAATATTTTAATACTTTTGGGAATAAAAAGTGATATGATCATTTGTTATGCTTTTTCAAAAAATTGTTCATACAGTTAGGTAAAGAATAATGTGTGTACTGGATCACTAAAATTTTAAGGTAGTATTGCATTGTTTAGTAAAGGAAGAGAGATAATTTGAGATACTAGAGTTTATTGCTACATAATTTTCTACTATTGCAGTATATTGAAGCTCTAACCATATTTACTTGGAAGCAAGATCCCTATTTACTTGGAAACAAGATCCACTGAGTTCAGTAGGACATACACCTGTAGAATTGCAGTTTTAAGACAGTGGATCAGATTCTGACCAAATTAGTTGCATAGGTTTTGTGAACAGTTAAGTCATGATTTCCCAATTTATTTCTAGAAAAGGTAAGGCTAACAACACAATCTTATACAAGTTATTTAGAAACAAGTTCAACCATTGTAAATAGTAAGTATGCATGGGAATGCAGTTTTTCTCTTGCTTTATGATAGGCATTTACCTGGAGTTTGGAACTGGATGCGACTTTGGGTTATATAACAACTAGTTTTGTAGTCAAGGATGTTCTATGTACTTAATGAAAAGATATAAATACATTTCAAATGAATTTTGTCCTTGTTATCACCTGAAGTTTGTACCTGAGAGTGTATAAAGTAAGTCATAATTGTTTTATTTAGTTCCTCGCTTGATCACTTAAAACTGAATTACCAGATGGAATACAAGCTTTTTATTTTTATCAATTTCAAATACATCCCTCTAAAGTTCTTCTTAAATTCGTTTAATTTAGCTTTCTTTTTCATTTATTCTCTCATTTTAAATGGAATGAATTTAGGTAGGAAAAAAAATAATTAAAACCAGAAAGATGACAATACATTTGTTAACCTTGACCTTGGCAATGTAAAAGCTAAGTATTATTGATTTACTTGGGTTATCAAATGTAAAATATTACTAGCATGTAATTCAAATTTGTTGACAGATGGATGAGCCCATGTAGCTAGAATTTTCTGAAAACAGTTGTCCAGATTTCAGATTATAGGTTTTGCTCTCTGGAGTTTCTCAGTATAGTATATGCTTGGCTGGCATTTTCTAGCACTTTATTACACTTAACATAGATGCAAATGTTTAAATTCTAAAACATGTATTCCCATCCTCCCATTCCCCAGTGTTTCTATGTAATCTAAATTTTGTAAATTCTATACATCTGCAATTAAGATATTTTATTAATTGTGAAAATTAGGACAATATATTTTGGTACAGATTGATGTAAAATATCTAATCTATTATTCTTAAAAGTAAATTTGTATATAGATTATTTACCTGGGATACAGTATATGAATTTTAGATTTAGCTAAACAATTACATTCTCTTGCTTTGACATGGGATCTGTAAAATAATATTTTTCAAGCGTGGATAGTGACTTCTCGGAATGCAATTTAAAATACTATAATGGAGTAACAAAGAAATTCTGTTTTGTTTCAGCAGATTTGTAAAATTGCAATTTAAAAAAAAAACCCTAACAAGGTTCCTATCTTGTTTAAAATGCTGCCAAAGGGGTAGTCAGCATCAAGATTGTAAGCTAGATCTAATATTTAATAAAGTTATATATAGATTGGTAGATATATAAATGGTATATTGGAAGACCTGCTTCCTTTAAATGGGCAGTTTAGTTAAAGTAAAAATCCTATTCCCCTATGCTCCTAGTGGAACTGGTTTTTAAACCGGAGCTTAAACCTTCTTCCTTTATATTATTGAAGTTTTCTGATAAAGTGTCTGTGCCGACAGGGCACAATAATTTCTTTTGCTGCTGGAAATGGAAATGGTTGGTCTTAAAAGCTGTTTTGTTTTAAACAATACTTTTTGTTCATTGTAGGAGAACCAGATTAATCTATGGTGGCAAAAACTTCAGGAGTATGATAGCACCTTTAATAAAACACAATTTATTAAAAGGCATAAACTTTCATGAGCTGTAGCTGGATAGAGTAGCTAGTCTGATGTAGGATTTAAACTGGAATGATCAAACATTTCATGACGTGTTGCAGTTAAAAATGTCTTTAAACAGCATCAAAATAATTTGTGCCCTTAACAATAGAACAAAAATGTATGAATATAGAAAATTACTAATTTAGGATGGCTGAATTCTGTGTTCCTTTATTTGGCCAGGCTCTGATTTTATGTGGAATATACGCTGTAGTTTGTTAGTATAGTCTGTCTGGGACATGTGAAGACATGCAGAACATGAAGAAACAATAAAGGTGGGGGCTAATATCAAGGAACAAATCAATTTTCACTTTTTTTTAATGGATAAAGACTAGAAGGAGCCAATCAGTTTTCAAACATGGTTTAGAAATTCACATTTAATGTACTAGACTTTTTAAAACTTTCTTGGGTATGGGTAATTACTTTGTCCCTCGAGAATACTCTTGAGCCTTTCTCTTAAATACTAGCAAAAGTTTGTTTCCCCAGCATGAATAAGCAAGGGGGAACCATACCTGTTCAATCTCTATTATAAAAATGTTAAAACTGAAAGAAATTAGTAGCTTTAGTTTTCATTCATTCTTTTTCATTCCCT